TGACAACCCAATAAGTATTCAATGAAATCATGTAATTTATTCACTGACAATCATAGTAATTTATTACTTGTCAACCCAAATAATTATTCACTGACAACCAAATAATTATTATGACAATCATATAATTATTCATCGACAAAAATAATAAAAACTGACGGGCATTTAAGTTGTCAAACACACAATGCATTACATCCCAATTAAAATGAGGCTAGATTGAATTCTTGAAAATGAATTACTAAATAAGCACCATTCCCCTTAAAACTATCTGTTTTCTTGTTAGTCCCTGATATTTAGTAATGATTTTGAATTTTTTTTGAGCTAGCAAAGTTTATGTAAATTTGATTTTTTGTTTGGGAATTTGATGGGAAACAGAATAAGACAAATTCAACATGAAAAGATATTATGATATCAATCAAAGATGTTTTTCATTGGTAATGCACTAGAAACCTTTAGAATAAAGTTCAAATATAGTAGTTTTTCATGACAACCTGTGTTCTTTTTAAATCTAGAACAATAGAACTATGCCTATAAAAAAGTAACAAATTTACATTATAATGCTACTCAGTAATGAATTTTCAAAATAATGTGAAACGGACTACTTTCGTATCGAAGGAATGCTTTTTGATGGATACTTGAGAAACCTGCTCGTATGGGGTTGGACATAAGGGGACAAAAGGAAATAAACAATAATAAAGCTGACAAGGAAATAACAACTAGATAAGCTATCTTAAATTGGTGTCCAATTGACAGCTGACATGTTATCCATAAATTTTTATTACAAATTAAAATAAAAATCATGCAAACATAAATTTTAAAATCATGTTATGACAATTGGTATACTGATTGTCAAAATCTAACTTAGTTGGGCTTATGATTTCTTTTATTTTACACTATTAACTATGGACAAAAAAACTTCCTTTCACAATGATCCATTAAGACAAAATTTGGTGATTTACACCTAATTGGACGAAAAAGAATAACGCAGGCACTTATTCTCCAGTTGGCTTGTCTTAGGTCCCCATTATATCCTGCTCAGTTGTTGGCATATATTTATATAAATAGAATTAGATTGTTTTTTTCATCAGTTAAAAGCAGGAAGGAAAACTAATGTACAACACTGTATATAAAAAGTTCTGTAGTACAATAAAACTAAATCACCACTGAATTAAAAAAGCCCAATAGACACAATTTAAAAATCAAAAAATTTTGTAATGTGCGCATTCATTTAGTCTATGAAAACGCACTAAATCTACCCATCATAACTTATCTAAATGACCTTTAGACATGGCCACCATCTCATGGTTCATAGACTACCAACTGAACCTCTAACTCAAGACTACCTACATGACCTCCAAAGAGGTCATTCTCATGTTTTGTTAACTACGCAAAAGACATCGCAGTTATCATGGTTAGCCACTCTCATGGTTTTCAATTACTACCACAAATGACCGCTAGATAACATAACTACCATAGTACTTAAATGACGCTTCAGCCATGACTATTCTCCTCATGGTTTAACTAACTACAGCATACGACCTTAAGACATCATGACTACCATTCTCATGATTTCACAACTACCAAAATGACCTCTAGATCATACACAACCATACTCCAGCCATGGCTATCATTCTCATGGTTTTCATAACTACACGTACCAAATGACCTCAAGACATCACAACTTTTACCCTCATGGCTCCATAACTACTCATATGACTACCATACATCATTAACACCACAGTATACTCATACTACAGTTACACATACACATATTTTACTTTAGAAATAAATAATGGCTTTTGCTTTATACACATGATATAATAAAAATTTCTAATAGAAATAAACAAATATCACAGACTGTTACAGGATACATGTACAAATATCCACCTCATAAATAAATCCCATCATATTCAGAAGGCAGTATTCATTTTTATTACATGCTTTTCGGTGGTTTATAGAAATATATCAGTGATATAAAACTGGTAATTTCACTGTTTCAAACAGTGAAATTACCACTTTGATAATTTCACTGTTTTGAATTTAAGCCCCTCACGTTGTTTCAGTGAAATACCAGCGTGCACAGTACTGGGTACCAACTTAATGACGTGACGTCGTAAATGACGTCATGTTGTATTATTATTTGGCGCGCTTTTCATTCAGTATTAGGTTTAATGTCTTTTTAAAACGTTTCTTTGCATGTAATAAAAAGAAAATTTGTTTAGTTTAGTGTAAGATCGAAATATATTTCACCTTGTGAACACCAAAAGTTCATATTTCACTCGTGGCTGCGCCACTCGTGAAATATACCTTTGGTGCTCACTCGGTGAAATATATTCCGATCTTATACTGAACTAAACAAATATCCTCTATGAAATTCACAAACTATACCTCACATCTGTAAATTTTAACTTTTTAGGACTTAACCAGATATGTTAAAATACATTCGTATTTATATGTCTCTAACTTAACTAATTAAATTATTCTTAAAGTATTAAAATATACATAAATAAATAACTTTATAGACATGCAGACAATTATTTCTTAGGAAAAGTTTTGTTAACATGTTGATGTCTTTATCTTCATAAAAGACATCATTATATAATAGCAATTGTACATTTAGAAATGTTATACTACTAACACCAAAAACAAATTACCACCATGAGTATAAATAATATACCTTGTACTGGCTTTAATATATACATGCATATTTACATTGCTGTATTTACTTATTATTATATTATTATATATACTGCAAGATTTTGAAAGAATATTTGATTGGAAAGAGGGCTTTTTAAGTCTCTGTTTATATAAGGTGAAAAAATCACTGACTTTATTTTTTTTTCTTTTCATATATAGATTTTTAGAAGATTTCATATTTTCATATGAAAAACACTCAGATAAAGAATAAGATAATATAAATAATATTATTTTGCAAACTTTCAGGCATAACTGGAAAGTTACCATATCCCAAATAAAACAAAAATAACAGAAGTACTTTCCTTGTACACTGTACTTATAAACAAGCCTGTTAAATATGTTGTTTTTTTTTCTGCAACTTTTTAGTGCACGCAATATATATCAAATAATTATTTTTGAATTTGTGCCCACATTTATACAAAGAAAAAAAATATAAAAGAATCAGCGAAACTTGCATTGTGGTCAAGAAGAATCAAATCAGATTACACATTAAGCAGTATTCTTGTCATAAATATCAAGACGCCGGGACTGAAACATATACATTCAAAACAGACATTATATATGACTATATCAAATCTGTGACAGATATCAAATACGGTAATCTGGACGGATTAATTCAAAATGTTTTATGTGGACGGATATCAATGTGGACGGATATCAATGTTTTTAATACAGCAGTTAACACTTGACACAATGTGCTGGGGCACTTATCGGGAATAAACACCTACACAGATATATATCAGTACAGCGTTCTAGTTGCTACTTAGATATCAGACACTTTCATATTCTTTCTGCAGCAGCATATTTTTCATAGTTCCCCAGAGCTTTAATTACCTCTAAGTTTTAATTTCTTTTCTAAGTTGAGGAATTTAAATTTTCATACAAGTGAAACACAAAAACCTTTTTAAACCTTTAAAAAGAAAACCCAAAATAAAATTTTTTTTTCAACCCCCTTTTATTTTTAAAATAACAGAGTAATAAATAGTGGAACATGTTAAAACCCGAAATGTTTTCTCTTTTCCCCTGATTTGAAATTAATGTCATACGGGACTCCAGGTCAAACATTAAAAATGCCAGAAAATTTTTACCCTTAATAAAAACCCCCTTCTAAAGGACCATCTTCAACAATATTTTTCTAAAACAAGTCCTAAAATAGCCCTTTCATAAAAGGTTGTTTCTCCCTAAATGCCTTTCTTTCTGAAGAATAAATAATGTCAAAATTATTATTTTTTTAAAATTAAAAAAAACCCTTATTCTATTTTTCCTTCAAAAGAAGTTAACCTTTAACTAAAAATTTTAATTCCGGGAAAGCCTTTTAAATGCAAAATGAAAATTCCCTGGGTCAAGGTTATTAAAGACAAATTTTTAATTAAAAATCCAACATTGTGGTTAATAAGCCCATAATAAGTTTTTGCAAATATATTTATGAAGGCCCCAGCTTACAAATGTTATTAACAAAAAATGCCCCAAACCCGGATGTTAATCATTTCTCAAAAAGGGAATATTTTTTTTTTCTAATTCCAATTGAAAATTTAAAATTTTTAGAAAAAAGGCGTTACTTTAACACCGGGGGTTAAATTGACATTTTTATAATCCAATAAAAAAATTTTTCTAAATAACCACACAAAAATACCCAGTCACAACTAAACATTTTATCAACCTTCCGGAAAAGGTTTCAGGGACTCTTAGGTTCAATTTTTTTTTAACTTATTGAGACCAAAAGTTTGGAAAAAATAAGAAATTTTTACTAAAAGGTCAAGTGAATAACTTGAAACAAGACAAAAACATAAAACCACACCAAAATAAGGTCACTTAAATGGTTTTGACACAACATTCATATTAAATAGGACAACATAACCTCCAAATAAAGACCATCTGTCTATATAAGTTGAATTTGGTCTCTTTTTTTTGGGTGATCTTTTTCACAGGTTTGACTGTACACAGACATTGTAATGGTTATACAGAAACTATCCTGGTTAAATTCTATTTACAGAAAGACCCTGAATCCAGTTTATCAACTTGTCTTAGTTCATTTAAGGACTAAATAAGCAAGACAAATTTTTAACAGTTCTACATACACACTCACAAAAATGATCCTTATTATCATTTTATACTGGCTTGATTTGGTTTTATGTAACACCTACATTTTTGTTCAGATTTCCTGATGTAGGAAAAGCACAAAATTTAACAAAATAGAACAACTGGCCTTGTATAATTTAATATTTCTCACTTAAAATAATTCAAAGTCCCTTGAAAAATTCAATCACAAATTGATTAAGGTCATGTGGTCACTTTTATTTAACAAGTTATATCAGGAAATCATTGTCTACAGAGCCTATCAGCCTTAAGAAAAAATAGCTGGACCTGGATAGTATCAAAAACTTTATAAAATTCAAGTTTTTATACCATGGAATGTTTGATGCAGCTAACAGGAAGACCAGATCATCAGTTTTAGCAAGTCCATCCATCTGTACTAAAAGTTCTGTCTTCATACGCCTACTACCTTCATGCTCCCTGTAAATACAATATCGCACCATTTATAATACTGTATGTTTGTAGCGTCGCTTTTCATTGGATATTTGTGATGTTTATATAAACTATATTATACAGCTGCTGTAAATTTATGAAGTCATTTCCTTTTTTTCTCTCTAATTAAGGAAATTTGTTGCATTATATTTCTGTTAAAGATTCATAGGTTATTTTGGCCTTTAAAATTTAACCTTGTTTTGCGTTAAAATTAGCTGCTTTTGCCCAAAAACCAAATTTTTTATAAGGCCATATAACTTTTCAAAAATCTTTATAATGAATGCTAAAATAATGCAAATAAATTTCTCTAATTCTGATTGGCTTAAACACTTTGTATACTATGTTTTATAAACCGTCAGGAACCTGAGCACATACAAGTAACAATGACGAATGTATTTCTACTTTTTACTATGGTTATATGTGTTTCATAAAAAATTTATTGTTTTTGTTCATAATGGTAATTTCCCCTTCAAATGTCATTCTTCAAAACAAAAGGTTAAAAGTCATCTATGATTCTTTAACTATTATTTTTTTAAGCAGATTTCCAAGCCGTAATCTTCTACACTCTAACATCTCTTTTTCCTGCCTTCCATAAAGTCTTAGTTGCTTTGTTTCTGTTGTTTTTTTTTAACTTTTCATCAATAATGATTTGCACTATTATAAATAACCTGCAACATAACCCTTCATTCAGCATCTCTTCACATAGTTGACATTAACAAATTTGCAAATAAGTAACTTATGCACTTACCCTCCCCCTTGTGACCCTCTTTGACTCATAATGGCCTCAAGCTCATCGAGGAATATTGTGGACGGAGCATAAAACCTCGCCATCTCAAATAATACCTGAAAAAAAAGTAACCTTTATAAACTTTTTACATATCAAAATATACCCTGGGTTATTTAGTTAAACAAACCCCAACCCTGGAAAAAACCCTTTAAATCAACTTTAAAAAGTCCCAAAAAGTTTTAAAAAACACAAAATAAAAAACCCCGTTGCATGCTTCAAGTTTTGGGAGAAGACAACAAAAACAACCCTTTGTAATGTAAAACTTAGTTTTTGGCGGCCCCACTCAGTACGGAGGGCAACTACAGTAAAAACAACAATTTCCATCTGGAGACAATAGCTTGCCTAAGCCCAAATAAATTATTGCCCGGCCAGCCTGATATCTTTTATTCCCGACCCTTACTTGGCTGCTCAAATTTTTTTTTTTTACAATTTAAAAAACACAGGGGTTTTAAAAAATTATCATACAAATTAAATATCCCGCGGGCCAAAAATATTAAAAAAAATTCAAAAATTTTGGTAAAAATGTATTAAAATCTTAAAAAAGTTAAAAAATATATTTAATTATTTTTACATTTATTTATTAATGAGGTTCAATAAATATAATTTAAATACCCAAAAAAGATATTTATTTATATTGAAAAGTTTGGATAGTGGAAAAAGAATCAAATTTTAATCTAAATTCTTTTTTTTGCCCTTACATTTACCTTTTAAAACACAAAAAAGAAAAATAAATATTAATTCTATTTAAAAAAATATTATAATAAAAGTTGATACCTACCCTGACTAGTTTTTCTGAATCACCTCTCCATTTACTCACTATACTAGATGCTGATATATTAAAGAAAGTTGTGTTACATTCTGTTGCTATAGCTTTAGCCAGTAAAGTCTTCCCTGTCCCTGAATATATACCAGTTAAATCTTATATATAACATACAATAATTATCAAAACATAAACTTTTAATTATATTTATAAATCTCAAATGGTAAATGATAAGTATTCCTTTGTTTAATGTAAAAGTGAATTTTTAAATCTATCAAATTATGTAAGTAAGTGCTTAGTTTCTTAGAAAAACAATCCAAAAATTTGAATTTTTTAGCATTTTTTTATGAGATTTACAGAAAAATCAAACAATCTCATAAAGCCTGGTTTTCCTGGAAAGGTTTTCATTTTGATTATTTATATATAAACCTTACCTGGAGGTCCATAAAGCAGTAAACCTTTCCACGGACATAAGATGCCTTTAAACAATTGAGGATACTGAAAAATATAAAATCAAAACATTTATATAAATGAATGTTAACTTATAACTTACACATATACAAGCACTCATGATCACTCCTGCAATGATTGACTGGTATATCGTTATAAGATATAAGTACTGACTGGTACACCTTTAAAAGGTATAATGATTGACTGGTATATTGTTATAAGAAATAAGGGCTGACTGGTATACCTTTAAAAGGTATAATGATTGACTGGTATATTGTTATAAGATATAAGGGCTGACTGGTATACCTGTAAAAGGTATAATGATTGACTGGTAAACTTGCATACAAAACACTGACTGGTATACCTTTGCAACACAATGATTGACTGGTATATCGTTATAAGATATAAGGACTGACTGGTATACCTGTAAAAGGTATAATGATTGACTGGTATATCGTTATAAGATATAAGGGCTGACTGGTATACCTGTAAAAGGTATAATGATTGACTGGTATATCGTTATAAGATATAACGGCTGACTGGTATACCTGTAAAAGGTATAATGATTGACTGGTAAACTTGCATACAAAACACTGACTGGTATACCTTTACAACACAATGATTGACTGGTATACCTTTACAACACAATAACTGACTGGTATACCTTTGCAACACAATAACTGACTGGTATACCTTTGCAACACAATGATTGACTGGTATACCTTTGCAACACAATGATTGACTGGTGTACCTTTGCAACACAATGATTGACTGGTATACCTTTGCAACACAATGATTGACTGGTATACCTTTACAACACAATGATTGACTGGTATACCTTTGCAACACAATGATTGACTGGTATACCTTGACAATACAATGATTGAATGGTATACCTTTGCCAACACAATAACTGACTGGTATACCTTTGCAACACAATAACTGACTGGTATACCTTTACAATACAATGATTGAATGGTATACCTTTGCAACACAATGATTGACTGGTATACCTATGCAACACAATGATTGACTGGTTTACCATTACAATACAATGATTGACTGGTATACCTTTGCAACACAATGATTGACTGGTATACCTTTACAATACAATGACTGACTGGAATATCATTACAATACTATGATTGTCTGGTTTACATTACAGGATATAATGATTGACTGGTTTACCTTTACAATTAATATGACTTGTTTACCTTTTAAGAGTACATTATGACTTGTACCTCATATTACAATGAGGTACCCTGACACTTAGTCAATAGAAGCAACGTGAATTATCATTGATGTGTACTTGACAAGATAAAACTTCCATGACATACTGACATGAGTGACTGTATACATGAAATAAACTTAGTATAATACCTTATAGATATACAACTGCTTCTGCTAATCTCTTGGCTTCATCTAACCCTATAATATCACTCCATTTCACATTGGGATTTTGTGAATAAATATCCTGAAAAAACAACAGTGTGGCAGATTACAGTAGGGACAAACATGATAACTGATAGAATACTTAAAACAAAGAACCTTTACAGTAATAAAAAAAATGCAAATATGGTGGCATTTGTAATAAGAGTTTACCCACCAGATCATGGTGGCATGTAACATTTCGTTCACCTGAGCAGAGTTTATTTACCCCACTGTTTCTGGGCAAACTGTAAAGCAGTTTACCAGTACAAAATGCTTTCACTCTATTTCTTCTGTACATGCCTGAGCAGTGGTACAGTGCAAAAGACTATATAAAAGATTTCATTATCAATTACAAGATAAGTAATCTGCACCATCTTGACTGCCTGATTTGTTGCTCTATCACGTGCATTATAATACAAATATGGAATGAGACTGCAATGTATAGTCCAGGATTAAAGCCCAGAGTCTAAGCCAGGATACAGCTATCAAATTAACAATCCTTCTGAACATTTTAAGAAAAAAGATTTGACTTATATTATCAATAAAACCATGAAACGAATGATTTCATCTCATTTCAATAACATTATATGTCAATGTTGTAGCCTTACATATGGATAACTTGGATCTTGTTTGTGCAACTTTTCAGGTATATTGGTAGAACCATATCCTAATTGAGTATCATTCTCACATTAAAGAATTATCTGTGGCAACATTTAAAGCAAAGCAATAAGTAGAGAGAGAGATTCACAAATAATAATTCAATGCAGAAACTAGAAGGGTTTTTGTAACAAAAACATAATGTCTACCAAAGCTGTATATGGTCACTCATATGAAGTTTCATTGAAATCCCACCAGTAGCTTGACATGTGAAAGCTGGACAAGATTTTTCTATTTATAGCTCTGGTGGCCATTTTGTGCAGCAGAGCAGAATGTGCCCGTGATGTGCACAACAAGGGATGGTACTGATCACTCCTGTAAAGTTCAGTTGAAAACCCACCAGTAGTTTGACCTGTGAAGGCCGGACAAGATTTTTCTATTTTTAGCTCTGGTGGCCATTTTGTGCAGCGAAGCAGAATGTGCCGGTGATGTGCACAACTAGGGATGGTACTGATCACTCCTGTAAAGTTTGGTTGAAATCCCACCAGTAGTTTGACCTGTGAAGGCCGGACAAGAATTTTCTATTTTAAGCTCTGGCGGCCATTTTGTGCAGTGAAGCAAAATGTGCCAGTGATGTGCACAACTAGGGATGGTACTGATCACTCCTGTAAAGTTTGGTTGAAATCCCACCAGTACTTTGACCAGTGAAGGCCGGACAATATTTTTCTATTTTTAGCTCTGGCAGCCATTTGGTGCAGTGAAGCGGAATGTGCCAGTAATGTGCTAAACTCGGGATGGTACTGATTACTCCTGCAAAGTTTGGTTGTAATCCCACCAGTAGTTTGACCTGTGAAGGGCGGACAAGCTTATTGCGGACAAACGGACAACAGACAGACAACCAACAGACAGACAGCAAAGGCAAAAACAATATGTCTCCCAAAAATTTTGGGAGACATAATAATTTATGTATGTAATACTTACTCTACTAATGTTTTGAGCTAAATCCCTCCATTCAGAATTGTACCCTACATAGCCTCCTAGAGGTTTCAATAATTTATCCTAAAATTAAAAAAAAACAACAAGCTTTTGAACAAAGTATCACTGCAAGAAAAATAAATAAAACTGAAAATTGATTGATTTCATATCTAATATCTTAAAGTGCAATCAACAAGGGTTTTTTATCAGTTCCCCTCAGCAAGAAAATTGGTGCCCATGGGAGTTTTTATAAGTTACGGCTTCCAGTCACAAATTGTCTTGTGCCATGGAGTTTTATAGTCGGTTCAGTCACAATGCTGGTGCATGGATTTTTAAGTACGCTTCCAGTCACAATTGTCTGTCAGATTCAAAGCAGTATCTTGCTACTGTTAGACATATCTACTAGAACTGCTATTAGGCAGATCTCAGTTGTTTCCTATTCTTAAACAATAATGTAATAAAGAGTTACAGCCCCTGAACAGGGCAATATAATCATGCAACTTAGATATTAAATGTGAATTGTTGTCTGCAGAGGGACTTCTCGTTCGTTTAAACCATGATCCCACAGTTAAAGTTGATTACTGCATATAGATAAGTTGATTTTCCATAGAATATATTTTTAAAATTTATTTGTATGTCTAATAAATTAGAACTTATAAACTTATGTGCAATTTCAGTCAGATCACTCAATCACCCTATATTTCCAGAAAAGTCATTTTTATTGTACTAAATGATCAGAAAATGAAGTGTAGCAAAGCTTTTCACTTAAATCAGGCTAAGAATCACACACAAAAATCAATATTAAATTTAATTCTCAGTATATTTCTTCATAACACTTTGCAGATTTTTCCATTTTACTATAGTACTATGCAAGAATTTTAAATTTTATGTTTTTAGGGTTTTTTTTGCCCCAGTGGAGCTCCTTAAAAGTATTACAATGACACTGTTTTAAGGTATACCTACATTAGTTACATTAGAAAATTCATTTGAGCCTTCTTCAACATTCAGTTTAGTTGCATCATTCAGCATGGCACGTATATCAATGATCTGCCCTGGCTGAAATAAAAATATCAAAAAATTCATATAAAATATATCTGTATGTCTACACAACACAACATGTACAGATATGTCTCTTTAAATGTTGGGTTTCTAAGTTGGACTTTATCCATGTAGTTATGTTGCAATCTGTGGAATTGGAAAAAGGGGCAACTTTTTTCTCAGAAGATTTCCATCATAAAAACTGCATCAAATCAAAGTTATGATGATTAAACATAAAATATTATTTTGCATAAAATAAAATTGTCTAATTTTTAAGTTTTTCTAACAAATTTCCCTCCTTATCCTGGAAAATGCTACCAACAGTATAGAGCAAGGTCAGACTGAATGAATGAAGGTTCTAATTACTGGTAGCACTTTCGGTTCCATCAGCTAACCAGTACTGCTGGCAAGGTCATGACCTTAGTTTCCTAAGAAACCAATGATCGGTGAAAGTTGAGCAGCTGAACACCTTATTGTTCAAGCCACACCTCATAATCTTTGTTTACTTCACAACACAAGTGTTATTTGTTTAGTTTTGATATGAATTTATTAAGTGTTATCTTTGTAGGCTAAAGGAGCATTGTGAAAACTTCAAAATAGGCAAGGAACTTTTTTTTCAAAATTCAGTATGTAGAAAATTAAAAAAAAAATATAAAATAAAAAATAATAATAATAAAATAAATGAATATAAAAATAAATAAAAAAATAAATATATGTAATTTTCTACATGTACTTTTGTAACAAGAATGTATGTAAATTAATTTAGAATGTACTATGATGTTTTTAAAAGAAATACATCACATTTGCTTCAGATTAGAGATCTACTTTACATTTAAATATGTTAGGAGTGAAAGAATGTGACTCAGTGTTAATTACAAAAGATCTGATGAAAAAAGAGAGACTATGATAGAAAACAGGCAAAATCAATATAGAACAAAATAAATAAAAAAAAATCTGGCTCCCACATTAATGTTTGCCTCATTGGCTATATATGTATATACAAAATTAATGTGCTATAAAAATATGTAAACAAAAGCAAAATTATGACCTTGATGCACAAATGAGGCTATGAAATGAAATTAAAACACTACACTTATCAAATGCCGAAGATGGTTTTTATCCAATACATTATAATCATTATCTTATTGAATAAGCTCTGCTGCTGTAAAATTACTTCTTTTTTTTCCAATAATTTAAAAAAATCCTTTTCAATAAGCACTGTGAAAGTTAATATGAAAATGACCATTCTAATGTATGGTGAAACTGACTTAAACTATATTCATGTAATCACTACATTATATGCTCTAAACTTGTCATAAAAGCAAATGCTGCCTAATTAAGCTTTGCATCTTTGAATAAATCTATGCTCTATTTTTCTACAATCAGTGATACCTAAATAAGCCTCTTAAATATGTATTTGTATATAAATAATTTTTTGAATAGATCTAACACACTGCAAGAGGGATCATAACTAAATTTGAGACAAACATGTGAATTATGGTGCCAGTTAGGTACTTTCATCTTTTACCTTCCCCTCCTTATTCAGCATAGAGGGTTTTCCCTTAGCCTCATTCTGATTTACTTGGAATTCCCCCTTCCCATGAGGCTTTAGGTTTATACCAGCTGACCAACACTTTCTGGGCTTAAATGTTTTATACATGATCCAGTTAACATCTTGTTTAGAAAGTGGGGCCAATGATTTCATTCTATCAACGTTTTTGTACATCTCAATGCCTTCTAATATTTCACTCATCATTTCCTAAGAGGTAACAGAATATTCTGTTAAGACTCATTCCAACAATGACCTTCAGTGAGTCTTTAATTTATGATACAGATAATATAAAGGAACTTAAGAAGGGTTCATAAAAATCATTTTTAAAATTCTTAACAGAAGGAAAGAAACAATATTTAAATAATGCCATTTAAAGATCAAATATCCGTCATGAAAATTTGGTTAAGCTAGATTGTATTAAAATTTAATTAAACATTTTATCAGCATAAAATAAATTTATAATTTTAATATTTATTGCAATAGTCAGAATTGCATATCATGAATTTTTGTAAAGAAAGAGCTGTGTTTGAATAATTTGAAAAATTGGGACATGCTATCTCATAATACAGGGATATTGCTATTTTTCATGACAAATGCAGTGATAGAAATTCATAAAGACAATACAAACAACAGAAAAAATATTGTATTATAAGCTATGGAAATATAAATTGTTTAAATTGACATAGAGATGTTCACCACTTTAATGCCAATACATGTATATTTATTCACATTTAGTGCAAAACCAATCATTTGCAACAGTGTTAAATTATGTGAAGTTACACATCATTCTTGAAAAGAAAAGCTAAAACATTAACAAAGCTATATATTCTGAATTATCTATCATTTCCTGCAGGTAATAAAATTATTTATCATCGTAAATCTATGTGTTTCTTATTAAAAAAAATTAATTATTGTGCGTTATAATAATATTCCTTTTAACAATGTTCCATATCATCATTTTCGAATGTCCTGGAAATTCACACTTATATAATAATATATAGGATACTGAATGATTAAATGAATTATTAAAAAATTTCATGAAATTTTATGATATTTTTTGTAGTTTAACTTTATTTATAATGTTTAATACAGTCATCAAGAACTTACCTTTCCTCTAGGTAATCTTTCTGATGGACTTTCAGCTATTTTGTTTTCTACATTATTACTGCCCTGGACTGTTAGACCTTGTAAGGCAAGGCTCGAGGCATCCCCATTGGCCATTCCATTCATCTAAATAAAACACAGAACATCCTAAAAACATTTCATTTTCGTGCAATGTAACAAATGTTAATAGAAGTTTTTAAGAGAAAGGCAGTGTACAGGATTTGTCACCTAAGGAAGGAATGTAAAAGACATTAATGAAAAGAGCAAGACCAGCCTGAAAAATGTTGCCAGGAATTTTACTTAATTGTTACTGTTTCAAAATGGAACCCCTAATTAAATCTGTTTCTTTTCTTTTATCAAAAACTGTAATTATTATATTTTTTTGTTTTGTTAGGTTTTAGGTGGCACTAATATTGTTAAAGTTATATGGCGACTTTCCAGCTTTAGTGTTGTAGGAAGTCGTCAAGTACAGGGGCATATCAACACTGTATCAAAAACCTTCCATTTGGTACAGTTTTACATTATGTTATTAATATCTGGGTGAATAAAGATATTTGAATTGAATTGAATTGTTTAGAAATTAAGAACATCATAAAATCTAGCAAAGCTTACAATAGATGGCGTAGATTTGGACGCAGAATCATTTGGTCTTCTCGTCGATGACTGTACTGTACGCTGTCTACCGTTCATCTGTTGACCTGAACCAGACTTTGGTCGGTTTGAACTTTGCGGAGGACTTGGTGGCCTACCATTCTGTGGAATTCTGGGTAAAGAAGGCGTGCTATTCTTTTGACTGAAATTAACAAAAAAAGTAAACTTCTATTTAAATCTGTAACTTTCGATGTTTTGTAACCTAAATGATCATTTGTTTGGTGTGTAACTTTTTCACACATTAAATCAACAATTTGTCACTGCAAAATCAAGTTTATTTTGTCATAATTCAGTTCTACATAACAATATTGCAATACCCTTTGCTAAATTATACTTTAAAATAAAAAAATTAAAATTCTTTGGAAAATTTAAGATAATCTTAATTAGGTTAAAAGTAAAATAAAAATCATTCATTCAATTCAATGAATCAAAATTCACTAAGATACACCAAGTAAAATGTAATTTATTATGATTGCCATTTACTGTTCTGTTTTTGGCATATATGTTTCAAAATTAATTTTGTTACTTATGAATATTTTATAATGATTTACATTTAGTTAGAATAATTATCTGTAGAGGTTAAAGAACATAAATTATCATTATTATAATTACACCCCTATCCCAAACATAAAGTCTGAATACAACGGTTATGTCTACCTTTCCTAAACTTCTGTAAAATGCATGATTAATGAAAAAATATTTAAAAAATAAGTTAGTACGTCCTTATTTGGCCTAAAAGAAATATTTATTATGGAGTGATTATCAATAATTAAAAGTTATGATAAATGAAAATGAGAGTGTTCAGTGGGATGTATTCCAAAATTATAGATTTTCATTACAAAAATTCATTTTTTCAAATACTTCAAATAACAATGTTTAGAATCATAAGAAAAATTATTGCCTGTCTGGCTTTATTTCACCTTTCACCTCCAGCATTTACTTTGATTTTGACACATAAAAGTTTACTATGTACCTGTAAATACTAATGTGTTGGTGAAGACAAAAACAAAACTAATGGAAATTTAAGAACAAATAATCAGAATATGTACAAATCACACCAATGTTTGCAACCTTGTCAAGGTGACTATATATATATATAATAAAAGTTGAAAATATGTCAAAGTCTCGCTAAAAATTTCCTATGTCAATGTCACACCAAAAATTGCAATTATGTCATGGTCACTACAAAAATTGCAACTATGTCAAAGTCACACCAAAAGTTGCAACTATATCTAGGTCACTTCAAAATTTGCAACTGTGTCAAGGTCAATGCAGAAGTTGAAACTATGTCAAGGTCACTACAAAAGTTGCAAATATGTCAAGGTCACTTCAAAAACTGCACCTATGTCAAGGTCACTACAAAAGTTGTAATTATATCTAGGGCACTACAAAAGTTGAAACTATGTCAAGGTCACTGCAAAAGTTGCAATTATGTCAAGGTCACTATAAAAGTTGCAACTATGTCAAGGTCAATCACTAATCAGGCTCTGAGCAGAAAGCACAAAGCAACTGACTTTCTAAACATCACAGATTTAAGTTCCTTAAAATCTTAATAAAAGTACAGTTTCAAATATAAAAAAAATATACATTCACAAATTATGAAAAACAACTATGAAACCCTAACCCTTGCTACATTAGCTATGAGAACTTAGTTAAAATAAAAGCTTCTACAATAATAATAACATAGCCCTTATCCAAAATAATCGATATAATTTATATAAACAGCAATTTATCATACCCAGTGAATCACAGAAACAAGACCACATGTAAAACATTATAGGAAAGTTTCTTTTTTGTATTAATACATAATTTTTGTTTGGTCTTGTTTTTGTATTGTTTTAATGTTTCAAGGTAGAAGAGAGATCAGTCACGTCATGTAGGTAAAAAAGTTTAATTGTGGTTTTTTCTTCCTACATACAAAGTCACTTTGACATTGTAAAGGTCATTAATGCTGACCTTTTAGCTTAAAAGTAATTAGTGAGAGAGAAATTTCAAAATTATGTTGTTTTTCATGTTTTTGACACAGAAAAAAAGTTTACATTATAGGTATTGTAATTTCAACATTTATAGAAAATAACAATTAAAATTATCCCGGAACGTTCTTTCTACTACCTTAGAAACATTTTAATTAAAAGGCGACTAAATATTTATTAGAAAATTGCCTTTCACAGCTTTATGTATTTTAGTTCACAGTTGCCTATATGAAAGTTTTTAATTACCTAAAGAAAGATCAAGGACAAAGCGATTATAAACTAATGGCCACCATGCAGTGAAACAAGCTTGAATAATAATAATAATCTACATTATATGAGCAGCATCACGACAAAACCAACATAATGGCTTTGCGACCAGCATGGATCCTGATCAGACTGCGCGGCAGCATGGATCCAGACCAGCCTGCGCATCCACGCAGTCTGATCAGGATCCATGCTGTTCGCTATCAGTTTCTCTACTTGTTATAGGGATTGTAAGCGAACAGCATGGATCCTGATCAGACTGCGCGGATGCGCAGGCTGATCTGGATCCATGCTGGTTGCTAACGCACTATGTTGGTTTTGTCGTGACGCGGCTCATATAATTGTTATAATTGATATTTTATCTGCCTGCAAAAACTCTAAAACATTTCCAGCCGCATGCAAAGCCAATTTTTTTTATTGCTTGTTTTTTGAAATATACATTTTATAATTAATATTACATTCAAATGTCACATATAAACAATGTGCGTTATAACCTTCCTTTTTTTTTAAATATAAAATATGTCTTTTATTATTATTTATAGAAGAGAATTCCAATAAAATTTTGAGAATAAATACATAATCTTCTGTATACAATATATTAGCTTTTTAGTTTAACAATGAATATGTATTTAGTTGCAATGAACATGTATTTAGTTGTCTTAACAAAAAAAAAGATGGCAGAGCAAAGCAAAAAACCTACTAAGACAAGAAGAGCATTATTGCATCAGTTATGAGACAACTACCATTGTAGCGTAAGATTTTCATAAGTCTGCACTTAGAAACAAGATTGCATTTGAGAAAAATGCTATGCCACCGCATTAATACAGCACTAAATAGTAGTGTGCATTAATACAACACTAAATAGTAGTGTAGGAACGGATATTTTTGTTTCTATACAATTGAAGATTGTCATAATGCATAGATCCCTGACCTATCTAATCCTTATCAACAGATTAGTGGTTGAATCTATTGTTAATCCAACAAAAGATCAGAGTAGGAATATATCAATGCACTTGAGTCTTGTTAATTTGGTGGTGAAGGTCATATTTCTCACAGCCTAAATTTCATGACTATATCAAAGGACAACACAGTAAGACACTTTGTTAAAATCTAAGTCAGCTAATATCAAAGTTCACTTTACATCTTAATCTGTGCACATGGTTCAAATTTCATAGCTGTACATCAAAGGACAAGAGAGTAAGTCATATCATCAAAATCTAGATCACCTGATATCAAAGTTCAATTTTACAACTTAAACTGTGCACAATTTCATTGCTGTACATCAAAGGATAAGAAAGTAGGTCACTTTCCCCTTGGGCAAGGCAAAATTTTGACCCAAGGGTTTTATTCAAACAATCTTGATACAGGTCCACCAAACAACATTTCAAGTCAAATATCTAAGCTGTAGCTTTCTCCCATTCAGAAAACATTTGTTTTATTTTCTGTTTTTACTATGTGTTCATAATGAGAATCACTGCCCCTGGGCAGGGCCAATTTTGACACCAAGGGAAAAATTTGAACAACTTTGGTAGAGGACCTATAGATGATATTATATAGCAAACATCAAAGCTCTATGCCTTGTACCTTCAAACAAAAATACTTTTTTTTTTTTACTATATGTACATAATGAAAATCAATGACCCCCGGGTCGGAACCAATTTTGACCCAAGGGCTATAATTTGAACAATCTTGGTAGAAGTTCACTTCGCAAAGTCTCATGCCATATATTTAACCTCTAGCCTTTGTCAATTCAGAGAAGAAATTTTTCAAGTTTTAACTTTATTTTTTTTGTTTGTTTTGGGTTTTACGTCACATCAACACAGTATAGGTCATATCGCGACGTTCCAGCTTTACTGGTGGAGGAAGACCTCAGGTGCCCCTCCGTGCATTATTTCAGGCACGAACGGGCACCTGAGTAGAACCACCAACGTCCCGTAAGCTAGCTGGATAGCTTCCTCACATGAAAGAATCCAAAGTCCCTGTCGGGATTCGAACCCACAGCGGTGAGGGGCAAGTGGTTTGAAGTCAACGACCTTAACCACTCGGCCACGGACGACCCAACATTTTAACTTTATACATATAAGGAAAACTATCGCCTCTGGGGCAGGGCAATTTTAACTCTAGGGGCATACTTAAAACAACTTTAGTAGAGGACCCATGATATTACATACCCAATATAAAATCTCTTAAGCCTTAAAGTACCTTCAGACAAGACATTTTTTTTACTATATGTACATAGTGAAAATCAATGACCCCTAGGGGTGGAGCCAATTTTGACCCCAGGGCTATAATTTGTACAATCTTGCTAGAGGTTCACTACACAATGTTTCATGCAAAATATCTTAACTCCAGCCTTAATAAATTTAGAGAAGATGATTTTTAAATTTTACTATATACATATAAGGAAAACCTATGGCCCCCGGGGCGGGGCTAATTTTGACACTAGAGGCAAAATCTGAACAACTTTGGTAGAGTACCTATAGATTATATCATTTAACAAATATTAAAGCTCTAAGCCTTGTACCTTCAGACAATAAGATTTTTTACTATATGTATATATTGAAAATCAATGACCCCCGGGGTGAGGCCGATTTTGACCCCAGGGCTATAATTTGAACAATCTTGCTAGAGGTTCACTACACAATGTTTCATGCAAAATATCTAACCTCTATCATTTGTCAATTGTTTTTACTATAAGTTTTACTTTATACATCTAAGGAAAACCAATGACCCCCGGGGCAGGGCCGATTTTGACCCCAGGGCTATAATTTGAACAATCTGGGTAGAAGTCTACCAGACAATGCCTTATGCAAAATATCTAACCTCTAGGCCTTTGGGTCTTTACAAGAAGGTATTTTAAGTTTTTACTATATGTACATATAGTGAAAACCAATGACCCCCGGGGCGGGGCTGATTTTGACCCCAGGGCTATCATTTGAACAATCTTGGTAAGGGTCTACCAGACAATGCCTTATGCAAAATATCAAAGCTCTAGGCCTTTTGGGTCTTTACAAGAGGGTATTTTACGTTTTTACTATATGTCATATAGTGAAAATCAATGACCCCCAGGGCGGGGCCGATTTTGACCCCAGGGCTATAATTTGAACAATCTTGGTAGATGTCTACCAGACAATGCTTTGTGCAAAATATCTAAGCTCTAGGCCTTTTGGGTCTTTACAAGAAGATTTTTTAAATTTATTCTTATAATTCCTTTTGGTTGCCATGGCAACCAGATTTCTGCATGGAATGAAATTCTTTGAACAACTTTGGAAGCCCTTCACACAAGGATCAATCCTGCCAAGTTTGGTTGAAATTGGACCAGTGGTTTTTCACAAGAAGATTTTTGAAGTTCACTATATAATCTATATAACACACACACACACAAACAAACAAACAAACACACACACACACGCACACACACACAGGTGAATCGCTATATGCCACCGCACCGCAGATGCTGCGGTGGCATAAAAAGTACAGTTTAAGTAATATGCCCTAACTGATCTAAATTATCAAGCAATTAAGATTCTGTGAAAAGCAATTTACCAAGTTTTTCTACAACCGTAAAATCAGATATTTTGGAAGGTAATAAAATAGTGTCCACTACCTAAACCACTAAAATTCCCTAAAACTATTACCCAAAACCAAAATATCGGCACATAAATTAGTTCATTTGTTTTATAACCATATTCTATATAACCATATTATGGTTACCTTATTTTACTGAAGCCTCAAGAGAAAAAAAGGTTTTGGATAGAGTCTTTTATCAATAAAAACCTTAGGACAGCATCACTATCCTTTGAATAGTTGACCTAAAACATCCAATTACAAAGGGTGTTTTTTTTAAGCCAATATCATTTCAAATGATATAGTTTAGTAAAATAACATATGATTTAAACTTGCTAAAGACTTAACCTTCAAAAAAAAATCTTAATTCTACCTATTTTAAACTGAACATAAAATTATATAAACCTTTAACCCAACTGAAATTTGCTACATGGACTTTTAAAGCTTAGATCAGTATTAATATATATCAAAATGCAAGTTCGAGGACTTATAAGGCTAAGATTTTTTAAACTGTTAAGTATAAATACAATAAATGTATATATCAAAATGAAAATTCAAGGTTGACTTGCTCGATAAAATTATATGGAATTGCATTTAAGCTAGCTTGTTCTATACTATACTCATTGTTTATACATACAAATTTATTTCAGACTGAATGTGTTGGAAGCTTACTGAAACCCACTCAAACTCGTTCCTGGAACCAACCAGTACTAAGGAATGAGAGCAAAGTTTCTATAGCTAACAGAAACAATGGCTTGCCCCTGACAACGCTTAGATTACTAGTCTGACATGTTAACCACTAGGCGGCGCCACCATTCTTGACAAAGGCTGGCAGTTCAGTAAAAGTGTCTAAAAATATAACAATATAGGTATATAATTATATTACACAGCTTTCTTACACTGGTTATGCCAACATATGAGGCAAGATGCCAATTAAAATGTAGAGTTAAAAGACAATTTGAATGGAATTTTTCTATATGGTACCGAAGCCCAACACATTCTATCTGCACATTTTGCTATACATATTATGGCAGGATATTTTCAAGAAAAAAAAAATGTTAGAGATGAGATATTATTTCATGCTTTCCAGTGTTTTACTACAATATATCAGATGATTATATTCTGATAAACCACTAGTGAAATTTATAAAATATAATTTTCACTGTAGCCAGACTATATCTGAATGCGGATGAAAAGAAAATCATAAGTAAATGGAATAACAGGCAGAAATAAATGCCGTCATACGTAAATTTGCTTATTTAGGAAAAGAAAGTTAATGTCATCATACAGCATGTTAAAAATTTAACAAAATTAGAGAAATTTAACAGAACTATATATCAAAACTTATGATGTGACGTCATGATATAATGACGTCACAAAGGAGTATGCGCGACGTTACGCGGCAAAATCAGTAAAAAGATACTTAAAATCACTTAAAAAGCATAAAATAAAAAGAAAATTTATTTGTTTTACATATAAGATTGAAATATATTTCATTCGTGAACACCAGCTATTATATTTTCACTCGTGGCTACGCCACTCGTTAAAATATTGCATCTGGTGTTCACTCAGTGAAATTATATTTCAATCTTACATGCAAAACAAACAAATATCCTCTATTTGTTTTTTGATTGGTAAATATATAGTCATAATTATAGCATCATGTAAGCACATCTCAAGCTTATGTCATATATAAATTTCATCAAAATATCTGACTTTACAGGCATATTTTAGACATGTTTAATACTAGCTGGCTCTCTACTAGCACTGTCAACAACAATACCTGGACATTCTACCATTACGTGATGCACTGAAGTAGATCAGTAATTAACATATTTATATAACATTTTACAATCATAATAACACAGATTACAACAAATAATTCATCTACATTCACCCAACCATAGCATTTTCATAAGAATTGTCATTTTTGGTTTGAAATTGCCCATCTGTTTGTAAGCGGTTTCCTTGCCCTCACTATGATGCCTGTCTATGCATTGTTTTAATTTAAACATATTTTTTTCCCAAATATATACATATACAATACAAATCAAACATTTTTATATGTATATTTAAGACAAGGATTAGAATGGAAGATTTAAATTAAGTCTTATAAAATTCTTCTCCTTACACTGTTTTCATTGCACATGCAGCAATATTCTGTTAACTTGACCTGCTATTATAAAAAAACAGCATTTTCAACATTCTTTGACTGATTTCAAACCATAGCAGTGAAGGACAAAGCATTCTAAGTCACATGTTTCAGGAAGTGATTAAAAACCACTGACCTTCCTGTAATTGGCAGGAAAGCTTCCTTTAATTAAGAATTCAATATTTCCACCTGTATTAGCTTTATCAGTCAACAGGTCAATCAGCAACCTTTGTTAAATACTGTGTTCTCTAACATTTATTAAGATAATTCTAAGGAAAAAAATATTAATGAAATAAAAGAAGAAATTGTTAGTGTATGAAATAATTTTGTAAAGCTACAGTTTAGGCAATTATTTCTAACTTCCTACCAATCAGTGCTTATCTAAATATTTAACCTTGACCATGCTCAAAACCTGCCTTTGCCACCAGTATACAGCCAGGCCAGCCTGCACTCCTGCGAAGTCCGGCCAGTCTCTATACTGTTGGCTGACTCCTGCGCAGTCTGACCAGGCTCCATACTGTTGGCTGACCAACTTTCCAATTTCCATTTTCATAACCTCTAAATTGATAATGGACAGTTCTGGAGATGGAAGCTGGACAAGTCCATTTAAAGAAAATCAACATGCTATGAGTTAATAAATCTTTTGTCAGTTTGACTTCTTGATATCCCACTACATGTGATATTATTTTTACAAAATACAAAAAGAGTTCTGGCCCCTAAATTCATAAACATGAACGATAATTACATGTACATCTACGTCCTTATACATTCTGATAAAATGTAAAAGAATGTTATGTCAATAAAACTCAAACATAATTGAACAAATGTCTGAAATAAGAGCTGTCGGTAGGACAGCAACGCTCGACTATTCTTAGTGCTTGATAGTAAATAAAATGCTTGATACAGTTACCTCCTCCTGTTTACAGGTTGGGGTCATGATGGTGAACAAGTGTGCAAAGTTTCAAAGCCATATGTCAATGGACTTTGAAAATATTTGAACTATTACAAAAACTTTAACGTAAATTCTAAGTCGAAAAAGGGGCATAATTCTGTCAAAATGCTTGATAGAGTTACCTCCTCCTGTTTACAGGTTGGGGTCATGATGTTGAACAAGTGTGCAAAGTTTCAAAGCCATATGTTAATGGACTTGGAAAATATTTGAACTATTACAAAAACTTTAACGTAAATTCTAAGTCGAAAAGGGGCATAATTCTGTCAAAATGCTTGATAGAGTTTCCTCCTCTTGTCTACAGGTTTGGGTCATGATGGTGAACAAGTGTGCAAAGTTTCAAAGCCATATGTCAATGGACTTTGAAAATATTTGAACTATTACAAAAACTTTAACGTAAATTCTAAGTCGAAAAAGGGGCATAATTCTGTCAAAATGCTTGATAGAGTTACCTCCTCCTGTCTACAAGTTGGGGTTATGATGGTGAACAAGTGTGCAAAGTTTCAAAGCCATATGTCAATGGACTTTGAAAATATTTGAACTATTACAAAAACTTTAACGTAAATTCTAAGTCGAAAAAGGGGCATAATTCTGTCAAAATGCTTGATAGAGTTACCTCCTCCTGTCTACAGGTTGGGGTTATGATGGTGAACAAGTGTGCAAAGTTTCAAAGCCATATGTCTATGGACTTTGAAAATATTTGAACTATTACAAAAACTTTAACATAAGTGGTTACGCCGACGCCGACGCCGAGGCTCGGGTGACTGCAATAGCTCTACTTATTCTTATCGAATAGTCAAGCTAAAAAGAACAAAGAATTTACAGGGGCAAATGTCAAATCAAAATTTAATATTCTTAAAATCAGGAGGAAATTCTACCACTCTTATGATTACCAATTTACTCTGCGGATATATACATATATCTATTCATCTATGAAAATAAATCAAAATGAGCTTTGTGCCAAACTCATTCACATGTTTAAAACTTGCTAAAATGTATAAATAAAAAATATCATCTATCTAAAATACAAAACTGCTACATGACAACAATAATCTTCCTAGCAACATATCTAACTATTGTCATCAATTTTTTATTTATTTTTTTCACTTTTACTTCTAAAATGCTAATGATATACACTTATATCCTTATTTTATGAAAAAAATTGATAGATTGCTTCATGAGTTTTTTATGAATTGAATTAAAAAATAAATCAACATCTCTTTTTAGTTGTAAAGATGTTTGTTGTTGTTTTTTTGTGCTTTTTCTGGACACTCAAATTCTTCTAAAAAAAATTCTGATACAGTTGTACAAACACTGTGGAATTGGAAATATGATATGCATCTATCATGCTTTATGAAACTTATTAAAAGATTATTTGAACACATGTCTGGCTTAATTTGAACACAAAGAATGGAAGAGTATTGGAACACATTCTCAAATAATGAAAATGTATCTGAACACTGTGATTCTCAAAAAGTTAAAGTGTATTTGAACTCATTCTCAATATTAATGCAAGTGTATTTGAACACAACGAATCTCAAAAAAAATTAAATGTATTGGAACACATTCTCAAATAATGTATTATAATTTATAAGTGTATTTGAACACATTTTCAAAGAATATAAGTGTATTTGGACACATTCTCAAAGAATATAAGTGTATTTGGATCACATTCTAAAAGAATGTAAGTGAATACGAACACATTTTCAAATAATGTCAGTGCATTTGAACACGCTCTCAAAGAATTTAAGTGTATTTGAACACATTCTTGTAAAAATCAATGTGAATTTGTACAAGGTTTAAAACAACAATGTGCTGTGTGCAACTATAACACAATCAACTAGAAATCGAGGTGAACAGCACATTTCAAGAATAATTAACTTCAAAAATAAACTAAAAAGATTTTAACAATGTTACCTTTTATTTTTCTTACTCATTGGCAAAAAGTTATTGAAATGAAAAAAAATAGTGCAATAACTTAATAAAACTGATGATTCTTGAAACAGAAAGGTAAGTCACAAAAAATAAAAAATCATTTTTTTTAGAATGGGTGATAATGTGTTTACTGACGTGCTGAGCTAATCTGATGAAGTTATAATTAGCAAATTACACGACATATACTTACCATATGTAATGGGACAAAGGTCGACTACTCGTGTCGCTGAATAGGTCACATGCAGATTTGAACACACCAAAAATATGTTTTTAAATATGCAAAACAATACATTAAAAAAAACTTCTGTTTACACAAAAATGATTTGCCTTAGCTCTTTCAAGTTGATTACAAATTATTTTAAAATCTGGTGAGAAATTATTAAACCTCTGTATCACTCAATAGAACTTTTAACCGAAAAGATAATGGTGACTTCTCTAGAAAGCTGACCTGCCTATCATCACAAGAAGTTTCATGCCACCAGGATCAAATTTACTACGTCCAGACTGACAACAAGACCTTAATAAGATCTAACTTAGTAATATAGTTTATGATGTTTAAGCTCTCTCTTCAACTTCAACTTGTATTCTAATTTATTTAATGATGGTTATTATACAGTTCAATGACGATTTTGATAATTTGTGGCCTCGAGAGAAAACAATAAATTAGCCTTTCTTATTTGAGTTACTTGACCTTCAAACTTGTACCTTGACCTTTATTTCATCAATGAAAAGATTCAGACTATGTATCTAATTATCAATGTCTTCGAGCAGAGTTTGGGAACAATAATTTTCTTCAACTAATATTTGACCTAGTGACCTAGTTTTCTTCTGCATTTTGTAGTTTTGTTTCTTACCAGAGATATTTACCAATCTACTAACCTGATATGATTTTTTTCAAACATCAATTTATATGATTAAATGAAAAATATTACCACTAAATGATTGACAATTTCAATTTGACATCAGAAATTACTTAATCATAACAGTTTTCAGTCAAACACTTCGTCAAATCAAATCTAGAAATTTTGAGTCTTTACAGATTTATTATTAAAATGGTCAAATAAATATTAGTAATAATATGTGATATTAATAAATTATCAATTAGGTCATAGGCCCCAAGATAACCATGTTATTTCAAAAAGTAAAGCATAAATGGCAATTAAAAACAAAATTATTTGATGATATTTATGGCATTAGTCGTTTGAACAATATTATAATGACTCAAAGATTAAGTTGTATTAATATTTAGTTTATAAAGTCTTTTTTGGGGTTTTTGTTTTGGTAGGGTTTTATGAAGCATCAACGCTGTAAAGGTAATAATATGGCATCTTTCCAGCTTTATTAATGGCCCTTTCATACATTATTTCATGCACAGTAGAACCACCAATGTTCCCTAAGCAAGCTGGATAACTTCCCAAAAAAGAATTCAAACTCCCTAGCCAGATTTGAACCCACAGCTATGAGGGACAAGTGGTTTGAAGTCAACGACTGTTACCACATATCTGAAGTTTTATGTCCTCCCCTTTATGGTTATCATTGGTGGTTTTTTTTACCATAAAATTGAACAAAAACTTAAAAAGACAGCCTCTACTGACAAAAAGTAAACTAAGAAGACTTTTATCAATTTTCATAGATTGGCAGTAGCAATAATGTGTTGTCTATCTGAGCCAGATGACCATCATTCTGTGCATGCTAACAAACTTTATATATAACATTTTCCTTAGTTATATTGAAAACATAATTGTACATTGGAGAATTCGAATTTCTAAGACGGTAGTTAGTGAATCATATGAATTTAGTATAATATTAATAGAATGGACAATGTATTTAATCACTGAGTTTTGAATTCATAAGCAAAAGAATTAACTTCATCCAAATTAGCTTCAAGCAGGTCAGTAAAACAAGAGGGCCATGATGGCCCTAGATCGCTCACCTGAATTATCAAACTCATCCAAACAATTACCTAGACAAGCATTCTGACCAAGTCTCATGACAGGTGAGTCAAAAATGTGACCACTACAGTGTTAACAAGGATTATCCATATTTGAGCAGTGCGACCTAGTTTTTTACCCAGGTGACACATATTCAAACTTGACCTAGAAATCATCAAAACAAACTTTCAGACCAATTTCCAGGATACTTGGATCAAAACAGTAGCAACTAGAGTGTTAACAAGATTTTTCTATTTTTAGCTCCGGTGACCTAGTTTCACACATGCGATTTCGAACTCATCCAAGCAATTACCTAGACAAACATCCTGACCAAGTTTGATGATAATTGAGTCGAAAATGTGACCACTAGAATGTTAACAAGGTTTTTCCATATTTGGGCGGTGTGACCTAGTTTTTCATCCAAGATGACCCATGTTCGATCTTGACTTAGAAATCATCAAAACAAACTTTCAGACCAATTAACAGAATATTTGGATCACAACAGTAGCCACTAGAGTGTTAACAAGATTTTTTCTATTTTTAGCTCCTGTGACCTAGTTTTTCATCCGAAATGTCCCATGTTCGATTTATTCCATGCAATGACCTAGACAAGTTTCCTGACCAAGTTTGATGACAATTGAGTCAAAATTGTGACCACTAGAGTGTTAACAAGGTTTTTCTATTTTTAGCTCCTGTGACCTAGTTTTTCATCCGAGATGACCCATGTTCGAACTCATCCGAGCTATCACCTAGACAAGCATCTTGATCAAGTTTGATGATGATTGATGCAAAAATGTGACCGCTAAAGTGTTAACAAGGTTTTTCTATTTTTAGCTCTGGTGACCTACTTTTTCATCCGAGATGACCCATGTTCGAACTCATCCAAGCTATCAACTAGATAAGCATCCTGACCAAGTTTGATGATGATTGATGCAAAAATGTGACCACTAGAGTGTTCACAAGGTTTTTCTATTTATAGCTCCGGTGACCTAGTTTTTCATCCGAGATGACCCATATTCGAACTCATCCGAGCTATTATCTAAACAAGCATCCTGACAAAGTTTGATGATGATTGGGTCAAAAATGTGACCACTAGAGTGTTCACAAGGTTTTTTCTATTTTTAGCTCCTGTGACCTAGTTTTTCATCAGAGATGACCCATGTTCGAACTCATCCAAGCAATTGACTAGACAAGCATTCTGACCAAGTTTGATGATGATTGGTTCAAAAATGTGACCACTAGAGTGTTCACAAGGTTTTTCTATTTATAGCTCCTGTGACCTACTTTTTCATCCGAGATGACCCATGTTCGAACTCATCCAAGCTATCACCTAGACAAACATCCTGACCAAGTTTGATGATGATTGGGTCAAAAATGTGACCTCTAGAGTGTTCACAAGGTTTTTCTATTTTTAGCTCTTGTGACCTAGTTTTTCATCCGAGATGACCCATGTTCGAACTCATCCGAGCTTTCAACTAGATAAGCATCCTGACCAAGTTTGATGATGATTGCGGCAAAAATGCGACCGCTAGAGTGTTCACAAGTAATTGTGGACGGCCGGACGGACGACGGACGACGGACGACGGACGACGGACGACGGACATTCACCGATCCTAAAAGCTCACCCTGAGCAAGCTCAGGTGAGCTAAAAACATAAATAAATATTGATGTGCACCCCTAGCCCTATTTGACAACAAGCAGAAGTCACGACATAAGTGACACGACGTGGCTAACCTGTGTAACAGTATAGCGCTGCTTGACGCCGAATGTCTCATGCTACAAATCATAAATCATTATAAATCATCATAAACAGCACCTCATCATAAACAACACCTCATCATAAACACATCATAAACAACACCTCATCATAAACAACCATATTCATGATTATATCATAAAATACACCTTATCATGTAATCATAAACAACACCTTAAGTTATATCATCATTTACTACTTAGTCAGCATTTATCATTATTAAGCAAATGAATTGCAGTTTGGACGTTTAAAAAAAAGGAAAACAGGAAGGACACAGCATTAGACTAGTGTAACTGAGCCTTTGAATGTTTTATTTTCTGACCTTCACCTTGCTCTCTCCCAATCAGACAATTAGACATTTCATAAATTTCCATTAATTGGTAAATGCTTAACAATAAACCTATCGATTTTTGTTTTAATGGAACAATTATAGTCTGAAAATATTCTCAATAAAATATCTAGAATTCAATCCCAAAAAGACAAAATAACTGATTCGATACTTTTTAAGGTCACGCTGACCTTTAAACACACCTACTCAGTGTATGAAGTTACTGCACTTAATTTAAAATTTTGAAACTTTAAAGTATATTTTTGTTTAAGTTGAAAATTTAACATATGTCATTAATATTCCATTTCCTTTTAGATAGTATTAAATGTCTTATATTAACACAATATTATTGCAAATGTATTACATGTAATTACAATATATATTTTAATGGTACTTAGGCAATACACATGATACAAAAAAAAACTCAAAAAACAAAACTATCAAATTTCAGAACTTGTAATTGAGATATAAAAAATGATATCAATTAGTTCTGCTCAATGATCAAACATTATTGTTTTTTTATGTTCTTTGTTTGTTTGTTTTTTTTTTTCGTTTTTTCTCTCAATATATGTAATGGGCTTTTTAAGCTAAGGATTGGAATAATAAAATTGTCTTGTCTTGCATATATCTAATAATTTGATATAATTATTGTCATTATGATACACTAGTGTTATTTAATGTCTTATAGATCACAAAAATAAATATTTATAACTAAAAACATAACTATTTAAATGACTTTGGGTTGGGACAAAGTAAGAGAGAGATATATATTTATAATGTATTTTAAGTTCCTACAATTTCAACCAAGAAAAAAAATCGCACCACCATTATAATTATAAAAACAAGGTTGGAAAAGTTTAGTGGCATCACGACAGTAACCTTTCAATAAATTTCATATATTCCCTATTACTTAAAGGCAACCTTTGTTTAAGTAAATTATAAAGATAATACATCTACAATTATATAAGTAAATGTCTTGTAATACAGACTAAAATAATATAAAAACAGAATTTACCTATTTGCTCTGTTCATTTTTGTCCGTCTATCTCCTGAAATATCAACAAGGAATTTCATTTTTCAATATGTGAATGAAGTATGATAAATCTTTATTCACTAATCTGAAAAAACTTTCAAGTAAGTTTGAATATGAAAGTATTTTTTGTACTGAACTTCATATTTCAATTGTAACTAAAAAAAAAGTCACATTGAGTCTTTGTAAATATATACATTAAATACATGATTCTGATGAAACTATCAAATGTCTGTGAATTTAACAAAACAATAACAGGACTGTAATGAATGGTCCTAAATACATTATCACAGTTATAATTATGTAGAGAAATATAATGCACCAGTAATTTGCATCTCTTGCCCCCACCCCCACTTTATGGAGTATATACATGTAGTGCTGGGGATATCAAGGGGATTATATAGCTGTCAATGCACTTGTTGGTAAATGCAGTGAATTTGTACTTATGCTAGCAAAAGCGAGGGGAATAAAATGTCACTGATTGTCATCAGAGATAGACTGTCCCCAGATGCACAGTCTTCACCATTTGCCAAGAGTTGGAAAGTGGGGCGGGTGGCTGGTGTGTCAAGGTAACAAAACAACTAGTGCACCTCTTTTGAGGCCATACTGATTTAGTGACTGAATTGTCTTTTATTAGCAGCAGGGTAAATGACCTTGAATCATAGCTGAAACATTTCTGGCAAATAACAATCATTATATTTATACTGGTATAGCATCTTAGACTAAGAAATCAATTGTTGATTTTTATATAATACAAATAATAATTGTTACATTTACATATTATAAAGAATGGTTTTGGGGAGGAGAAACTCACTGCAAACAATGTTTTTGTTTAGTAAAAATGGAAAATGAAAGAAGAAAGTGGAAAAGAAACTGTGAAATCATTCAAATTTTTTGGAAGTTACAATTTTTGATATAATGTTTATAAATGTGAATAAATAAAAATCCTTTCAGTGTTTATTAACGCTTAACTCTGCTGGACACCAAAAGTGAATTTTCCCTTTGTACACAGTATACCTGTCAGGCCCCAGCCTCCATACCCATGCAATCTGACCTGGCTGTATACTACTGTTGACCAAAAATCAGAATTTTCACAATGTGATATCTCCAAATATTGAATAAAGGCACGTTAAACAGATGAAAGTCAATTCAAGAAAAAATTCAGCATTTCAAGGGTTAAAATTGTCTCAATAAATGTCTAACAGAAATGTGACCTTGACCTATTTGCTGGAGACCTAATTGATGTATGTGACAGGTAATCATCATGTCTAACACATTGATACAAAGCTATTTTTAGAATTCATCAAGGAGAATCAATCCAGGAATGACAGATTTGATGACCTGACAAAATTGCTCATCAATGCATTTTTTTTTCATGAAAATTTCCTTACAACTTTTAGTGACCTTGACCTGTGACCTACAAACTTTGGCCTTGCACATCATGTTAATGTGCTTCACATCTATGCAAAATTATTTCAAAATCCAGGCATGAATAACAAAGAAATGGCCCTGAAAAAAAGCAGACAGTTCAAAAACTATGGGGGAAGGAGGATAAAAGTGCAGTAAAATAAAAGATTCAGATTTCACAGTACTAAATGGCATAAGGAAAAGTTAATCAATTTTTTTCCCAAATTATGTTGGGTTTTATTTGTTCAAACATAACATATTTGCTAAAATTCTCCTTCAAGAAACAAAGAAACACAGCTTTCTTCCTATTTAAATACTTAAATCTATCAATGTATAATTAATATATAATTTTGTCAATATCCAGTTTTTATTTCATAACAACAATTTCTTTACTTTGCAATATTGAAAATTAATTTTGTTGTATTTGGCGACATGTGAATTTCAATAAACAAGAGCAACGGAAGATAAATTACAGTAAAACTTTGATATCAGTAGAAAGTTTTATAAATAATCTAAAATAGATGTATATCTTGTACCATTTGCTTGATTGTTAAAACGCAAATACTGCAAAATATCTGTTGAAGATATGAAGTTTAGTGTAAGAGTTCTATCATTTCAGACTTACTACATAATGCCTCCATTTTAGAACCAGCTAGGCAAGCCCAAATGACCATGCAGATTTACCAGACACTATACATGTAGTCAAAGTACTATTGTGTCATAGATTTAACATTTTAATACTGAATTCCTTTGCATTCCTTAGAGCGTAGTCATTCAAACCAGAAAAGTGCATAGGGTTAAGGTTAAAACATAACAAATGGCGGACAGGTTTCCGATGAAGACAACCAAACTATGATAAACTATTAACAATGAGCCTTCTTTTTTATTACTTTAACAAAAGTGAAAGTATCTACAAAATTGGGAGTAAGGTCACGCTGGTTTTCTATTTCAGTATCTTTTAGAAATATTATCTATTACGATAAAAGTATAGAGGCAGGTCAACCAGCATGTCTGTTGGCTTTGTCACCAGATTCCATCCTGCTAACTGCTGAGTTTTTCATTATTAAAAAAAAAAAAAAATCCACCAGTTTAAAAAATGAAAATACACAATTATAAATTCAAAGCATGGCATTTATACAAATCAAGCTGTATAAAAAAAATTGTCAAAGTTTTACTGTAATATGAATGGTAGGAAATGGTAAGAAGATAGTATAATAATTTTTAACAGGTAATAATAATGCGGTCAATAAAAACATCACAGCAAACCAACAACCCCATACCTGTTGGATGTCCTATTAAAGCAAAACAAACAAAATCATCTTAATAACCTTCTCCAAATCTAATCTATCTAGCTAGCTAGCTGCTAACACAAATGTAGGACCCTTATCAAAATTTTCTTCTGATTGCCAGAAAAAGGTAAATCTTCAGTATTAACTTTTTAAGTTTATTATAAATTCCAAAGATATAATGCTTATCTGAGAAAACTTTCAAAAGAAAGAATGTTAAAGGCCCATTATGCCTAAAAAATGCTATTATTTTATTTCTCAAAACCTTTTTCTTTTTGGTATCTTGTTACTGTTTCCAAAAAGTTAAATATAGATTAACTTTTTTTGCTTCTTTTGCTCTGATGACAGTTGGTATAATGATATTGAATGAGGAAAATTCTAAAAAAAAGGGATTTTGAGACATGTGCCTTTAAATGGTCCTCTTTAAATTATATATTCATCATCTGTTATTATGATAAACATAAAACTCTGTATAAATAACAACTAAAGAAAGCAAACAGAAAGAATGAAAATGACAAGTATCGTAAAGGCATATATTTTTTGATAAGCATCCTTCATCTGAAATTTAAACAAACTTTAAACACTACACATTCAATAACAAAAACATCTATATATTATCTATTAGATTGACAAGCACAAAAATGGCACAAATATATAATAAAACAAGAGCCTGGATAATGATAAAAATTGTCAAAGTTCCAAAAAGGGCAATTTCTCATGTTAAGAGTTTATTGCCTTATATTATGCTCGCAAATAAGTGTGGAGTTTTCGAACCCATTTCCTTCAGTAGTTTTGGAGATACCAACTTCATGAAAAAACTTAACCAAGGGTGAGGGCGGACGCTATCACCGGGGTATAATAGTCCCACAAAGAAATAAAATTAGTTATTTTTTCCTTATCAAAGCAAAAGACCTACTTTTTTCCTTAATATCAATACTACAAAACAGCTTTAATACTTAATGTTTTTCTATGGGTTAAGATCATTCTAATCTGATTAAAACTTCTCAGCATTATGTTCATGGTCAATTTCTCCGTATATAACCCAGTTATATAAATTCCCTGAATCTGAAAGTTGTTTTCCAAATTTAAAACAGAACAAATCAAAAATCAGGATCTACTAATTTGTGTTAATTTACAGGCCCCATTTATTATCAAATTTTGTATTCTATTCATATTGTTTACTGTGAGAAGGACAATCCCACACACTAAATGACATAAAAAACAATTTACTCTGGTATTATCACAATGAAAGTCAAAAACAATTTATAAACCTTTAACACTCCAAAATCAACAATTTTTCACAAATATGGTTGTTATAGCAAAAGAACAAAGTCAAACAAAATGGCAAAATTCATACCGTCATAGGGATTTTACTACAATAAAGAACATGTTCTAATAAATTTTATTTTTGGTTTTGGATTTTTACCCTTAATTGGTGGAAATTTGATTTTGTAATAGCTTTGAATTTCAAACCAGTTTTTTTCCCCATTAATTTTATGGGGATTTCATATCAAAATGAAAAATTTGAGACGAAAACAGTATAGAGCCTGGTCAGACTGCAGGTAGTGCAGACGGCCTGGGGCTATATGGTGGCAAAGGCTAATCACTTTCATTTCCAGCGATTAAGGGGTTAAATCACTCCACATATGAAAAGGTCACAAATTAACTAGTCAGCTATTCTAGTGCAGAACCAAATCTCAGTGCTTGAGAGAGGATGATTTTATTCAAAATACATGATAATGTTGCAAGTCTTGGAAATTTTTAGAGTCCAATGAATATTGTATGTTCACGTAGGGACATACTTTATCTAAAATCCATGCTAGAGTTATGGGTCTTTGATTGAGCTAAAAAACTTTAATCATAGTGTTACATTGATGCCTATGCAGAGCCCCAATTTTTTTTTCTAATAGTAAGGAAAAACATACAAAAAATTTATTTTCAAATGTCCCAAAAATGTTTTAGAAATTACAATTAAAAAATTAATTTTTCTTTTTAAATTATTTCGGGCCTTTTTTTTTTAAAAAAAAATTTTTTTTTGGAAAAACCCCCTTTTAATAAAAAAAAATTTTTAAAAAAAAAATTGGGGTTTGGGGGGGAAAACCCCCTAATTAAAGGCTTTTTTAAACATTTAAAATTTGGGGGGCCCAAAGGGCCAATTTTATCCATCTGGTCCAACCCTATTTGTTTTTTAAACCCCCATTTTCTTTCATCAAGTTTTCTTTTTAACCAATATAACTCTTTAAGCAGTATGCCTCCAGATTCATGCTAATATTTCATGAAAATGTTTGAAAATTGTTTTTCAAGCATAATATTGGAAAGAACCAAAAGGAAGCAATTTTAACCCTTATCAATGCACGTTGAACCACATAATACTATTACCAAAAAAAGAGGTCAAAATATGCAAAATATAGGCCTTACTGTGTTACTAAGTAGAAAGAAATATGGTTATAAATACTGGAAAATCAGTCAAATAATTGCATATAGCATGTAAATTAATTAAATTGAATTTGAATTTTTACTTTTAAAAATCTTAGTACACAATTTTTTTCAAAGTTTGACTTTCTTGAAATATTTTGGCTCATCTGGAGGCATGGGGAAGTTTTTTTTAAGATTAAAACGTAATTTCCATTCAGCATAATAACTGCAAAATCTAATAATTTTCAAAGGACAGCCTCCACAACTTGTAATACAAAACACAAGACATGACAGAAAACAGAAAAAAGAAAATCATTCTGGAAATGTCAAAATAAAAGGCAATGATTGAAATTCAGTTTTTTTTCTCATCATAAAATTGCTCAACAAGGATACTTACCACCGTGTAAGTTTTTGCAAATTTTGGGGTATTTTCGAACTTGCTAATAATATGATTCCAATTCCATCACTATGGTAATCCAAGTCTATGTTATCGCAGACCCCAAAACTTTGAACATCAATATTTGTCTCCCTTGCCAAGCCGGCTGAAGTCCAAATAACTGAAATGCTATGAGAGAATTAATGGATTTTTTTTTTTTCATCCAAGATTAATATTAGATACTTGTCACTTAACATGCATTACTTCTCATTGTTGCCATTTTCAAGGATCATTCTAAAAATAGTATCTTATCTAAAGGTGATAAAAATTTCTGATACTGGTGTGTGATAGTATTTATTCTTCAACATAGACAACTTACCCAAATCAGGTGTTAACTGTTTTTAATTTTTTCTTACTTGTCATTATAACACATAACTGTGAATTGATTATTAATTAACGCGCCCAAATGGTGCAAATTTGTCATGGAAGCTTAACATTTTAAGAATAAGAAACAACAGTATTTAATAGTCTCTCGAAATAGCTACATTGCTGGCAACTTAAAATTTACTGCTGGGGTTACTTTTGCAAAAACATGTGATAAACTGCTCCCCAGCCACTCCATTTGCCTGTCAATTACATGTATTGCTGGCTTTTTTCATCTTGCTGATTTTTTATTTAGACTTTGAAGGCATTATAGAAATTTTTTTTTTTATAAAAAATGGCCCAAAAGAAATAATGATTTTCTTACCCTTCTTCATTTAAAATAGTTTAAAAACAAGGATCAAAATATTCTTTTTTTTTTCTGTTTCAACTCATCCTGAAAATTAAAGAAGCACTGACATATAAGAAATGTGATAAAACTATGATACATCCTGCTAAAGTATTATACACCATTGTAAGGGATATGTTCTCAAAGTCTCCGATAACAAATAATGGAAGATTCTAAAAAAAATTTTGTTCTTTAAATTTGCTACTTGGTGCAAATTTAATGACTTTATTATTATGTGGTCTGGTTAAAATTTATAATACTATCTAAATTTGGGTTACAAAAGTTCTTCCTGTAAAAGATTAAGAATACAGTGCAAGAGCAAATAATTTTTTGAAATATCTTTCCAATGTTATTATCAATATAGGTAAATAATTCTGAAAAATAAGTTTTTTATGATATGAGATGCGCACAAGTTGACACTTGCAGATGAGTTCCTTTATAAACTCATATAAACTGCCCTTTAGCCCTGAAAGCTAAATGAATGAATGAATCTCATCTTCAATATCAAACCAAGCCAAACACAATTATCTACTAACTAACAGTGCCACTTTCACTTCCTGCGAGGTTTTCTTGATGTGTTTTGTAGGACTATGCATAGTTACGCTCATGCCTTGTAACAAGTTTCGATGTTTTATATGTGCTCACAATGTTTATATTGAGTAAATCCCCAAAAATAAACCTAGAAATGTCCATGCGGTATAATATATATAAAACGATAAAGACATGCATTACTTTTAATGTCTATGTACGTAAAAGATGAAGAAATCTTATTCAAAGATGCAAAAAGGTGGACCA